TGCTGGGGGATTGAACCGCGGTCCCTGATGCTTTTGCTAAGCTTGTTCTAAGTAGGTGCTTTAGACCACTGAGCCATCTCTCCAGCCCTTAGAAACTTAATAAGACCCCATTTCCAAATTAAAAAAAATTAAAGGGAGCTGGTGTGTAGCTCCCTGTGAGGGGCCTGTGCTCCATCCGCCTTGGAGGGCTTCTGGGAGGCGTCCCAAGCCTGAGGAGCGTTGGAAGTCTGCTTGGCTGGGCGCAGGGCCAGCCTGTCCCTGTGGGCTTCACAGACTCCATCCATCCTCCCCAGTTACCCTGGGAACCCTGACCTGTGATCGACTAAATGAACCAGTGCTCGTTGTTTACGGATGTGGCTCTTTCTCGGCTTGGGGTCAAGGATGGGAAGAAAATCAGCAGAAAGTGGGACTATTTTCAGGATGCCACTGCTCACTACCACTGAGTAGCTCGTGAGTGTCTGTCTTGTTTTGAGTCCTCTCGTGCAAGTTGCCTTTAGAACCACTTGTGTCATGATAAAGGAAAATATGGTTTTAGCATAAAGAGGGACCAGTTGGTACTTATAATTGAATAGGGTATCGTAGGCTCTTCACTCTGATAGGAGACTATAGCATTTTATTTTATTTTATTTTATTGACAGTACTGGGGATTGAACTCAGGACCTTGCACTTGCCAAGTAAGCTTCTTTTTTTTTTTTTTTTTTTTTTTTTTTTTTTTGAGACAGGAGTTTCGCTATGTAGTTCAGGCCTATCTTGAATTGTGTAGCCTAGGTGGACTCTAACTCACAGCGATCCTCCTGCGTCAGCCTCCAGAGTTCTGGGGTTATGGATCTGTGCCATCACCCTTAGCTAAGTCTCTTCTTTTTCAATTTCAGAGGTGCTGTTCCTTGGAAGGGGTAAAGGCTGAGGCTGAAAAATGCGATGGCAAATCCCACTCACTGCTGTGCAGTGAGGAGCTAGGGACACTGGTTCTTCCGAGATTTCTCCTGCTTTTCCTCCCAAGTTAATAAGGTGCAAGTTCTGTTTGGACCTTGGATCGTATTCTCTCTGCCTGGCACAGTACCTGGCACATAGCAGCTGCCTAAGGAATTTATTTTATTTTATTTTATTGAGAAACAGCAATGAGACAGTTTCAAAGCTGATTAATAGGATAGTTTCAATAATTAATGCATTGTACATTGTTATCTTCTTAGTGGCTATCCATAGGACAAGATGCAGACAGGATCCTGTCCAAATAATACTAATAGTGTTTGCCCAAGGAATTGAAGGAGCAAATTTATAAATACATCTGATTGGGCTGTGAAAATATTTCGATACTGATCACTAGGTGGCGCTCATTTCCTCGAGTCCAGCTGGTGACGCGTGGAGGACCTGGAGATTTGTATGGGTGAAAGCTGCTTGCTGGGATCCCGCTGTTGGTTGCGGACAGAGTCAAGGATGGAACCTAGCTCACGGCTTCAACAGTGCCGAGACTGCGAAGGCTCCCCTTTATTTCTCGAGCCGCTCACTGCTTAGTGTAGCTCTCTGGGCCTTTCCACCTCTGTTCCTTGAGCTGGGCAGCAGCGCCCTCCACCTGCAGCTAAAAAGTGCCGCGCTCACTCAGCCCGAGCGTGGCGTGTGCAGCGCCAGAGCCAAGACTGCAGGAGAACGAAGTCTCCAGGACCAGGCTTTCCCCACACCCCGTCAGTTAGCACCGGATGAGCTCCCGCTTCTAGGAACTGCGCAGCGAGTCTCAACGTGCAGGCCTTGACCAATGCGATCCGCACCGTCAGGGGCTGAGTCAGGACCTCGGGTGTCCCTGATTCCACGAGCCTCGGCGACTCCAGAGCATGCCAGGGGGCTCTCCGTGCCTGTGAAATCCCAGATTTCCCCAGTGAGGTACTACTGACACCCGTGCACAGGACTTTTTTCTCTTTTGGACAGGCTCTCGCTATGCAGTGCAGGCTGCCCTTGAACTATGTAGCCCACGCTGACCTCAAACTCGGTAGTGACCCTCCTACCTCCACCCCCAGAGCGCTGGGCTTTCAAAAGGACGTCCACGTCTCTCAAGATAGGGCCATTTTAGGGGCTCAGTGGTGGCGTGCTCCCCTAGGCAGGCGTGGAGGGCCGTGCCGCTCCACTGGCTCTGTTTCTCTGGCGAGTGTTGCCAACCTCCACCCCTTCCCATTTTTGCTCCTCAGGAGACCACAGGCCCCTGGTTTCCATCCCTAACAAAGGGATGATGGGGGGGGGGGGTTATAAAGGCAAACCCATAGCCCGTCCCGAGGTTGCATCAGGCTGGGCCAGGCCCGGGGTGCTGCACCGAGCTGCGGGTGCACACTGCGGAGTATGCACCTTGTGCTGTTCATGGGCACAAGCAGCTGTTTCACAGCAAGAGCCTTGAGCAGGAACACAGGAGAGCGAAAGGTGTAACTAGAGGATTTCAGCTCTTGCAGCCCTCTTTTTCAGAGGTGTCACGAATTGACTAGGCCATTGGTTATAGAATGGTGATCCAGAGCCCCCAAGGGGTTCCTGACTTTCTGGGAGCCCGAGGTGGAAGCCCAAGGGGGGTCTTGAGGGACTGATCAGCATGACATCACTGCTGATAGCAAATGCACCATGCCCTGGAAAGAACCCCTGGGGACATCAGCTGGATGTGGCACACACCTGTAAGCCCAGCACCAGGGAGGATGAAGCACAACTGTCACCCTGGATTATGGAGGTAGACCCCATATAAAATGAATCCTTTTGGTACATTCAAAAAGATCTAGACAGATACACTTTCATCTTTCCTTGAAGATTAGGACAAGAGAAGCAGGCCTACTTTATGATGCTCCCAAGGGAACATCTGGGATAGCAGTTTCTTGCCAGCCATCCTAAATGACAGAAGAAAAACTAGGGGAGAAAATGGTGTAGATTGTGGGCCAAAGCAGAAGCATATTTGCAAGTCTGGTTTAGCACACACTGCTTGCAAAGAAAGGCCTGGAAGCCAGGCATCTCCACCCTGGTGCAGCCCTCACACAAGGGCTGAGCGCCCACAGCAAGCCCCACTCGGTGGCACTTGTGCGTCGTCGCCCTATGTCCCCTTAAATAAGAGACAGGGGCACAAGGTTGTCATTCACTTTTCCGCATACTTTATTTGTTACAAACATACAATTTTTTAAATATAGACTGTAAAACTCCATTTGCAAAAGTCTGCTATTGTAAGGAGTGCACACCAGCAGGAAGAGTTCTTAGACTTTTTCTCTGAGTTTTTCTGTCAGTTTTGCTAGTTAGTGGTAAATACGGGACCCGCCACTTTACAGACCTGTCTGAAGCTACTGGCTGTATTCACATTGCTCTTTTGGAGCAGCCCTGCTTGTCTCGAAGCTGGTCAGAATCTGAGCTTCAACCTACAGGCAGTGAGATCAACAGCCCGCCCGGACTCTGCTTTGAACGGTTTTCGGGAAGTGTGATTTCTGAATGGGTACTGCACTTCACGGTTTGTTTGAATTGCCCATGCAGCTGTTTGTTAAAGTGCATTCTTCTTTTAAAAAATAAGAGGAATAATCTTTACTCTTTAACCAAGGTACTTAAAAAAATGAACTTTTTGGTCTCTCAGCAGATATTCCCAAATTGATCCTAGCACTACAAACTTTAGTGTTCTATTTACAAACATTTATAGGGTTACAGGTGGAAGGGACCTTATAAAAATTAAAGGTGCAGCTTCACTTGAAGCAGAAATCAGTTCTACAAATTCATACATAGGCAAACACACTTGGTTTACAATGCATAATAAGCATGTTGGTATTTACACAGATTGAAGACATACCAAAACCCCCCTTTTTAATTTTCAACCTACACTCTAATTGTACATTTAGGTCAGGAAGCTGTTTCCTGCTACCAAGATTTGGTTTTAATTCACCCGAATGACTTCTGCATTCTCTACAGGCAGTCCCAGCTTCGGGGTGGAGAGCCTAAGCCACTGGGAGACGCGTGGGAGCAAGGATTGCTACGCAACGGGAAGCCAGGTATCTGGAAACAGGTCACAAGATGGATTCTTAAGAATGGTCTTGGAAAGACATTTGGATGAAAGTTCCAAAGGAAGACTCAATCTCTACCAACCCAATTGTACTGGACTTCAGAAGAGGAGGTCCACATACACTGATCATCGCAGTTACTATTCAGAATGGCTAAGTCCTGGGAACCCAAAACTTGTCTACTACCAAGATGAGCACAACCACGGACTCCTGGTAGGATGCAGCTGCTATGTAGACCTAGTTCCTAGACTTTCTGCCCAATCGAATGACATTTAGGAAGCCAAACATTTTTTTGTCCATGGGGGTAGGTGATGTGTGGGCCAGGAGAAAGGGTTTATGCCTATTGCCAGTTTAAAATGAAATTTTCACTGGGCATCACAGTCCCAGGACTCAGGAGGCTGAGGCAAGAGGACTGCCATGAGTTTGAGGCCTGCCTAGACTACATAAGCAAGTCAAGGCCAGGGTGGACTACATAGTGAGACCCTGTCTCAAAACAGCAACAAAAGAGAAACTCCCAAATTCCTTCAAATGTTTCTTGATATAATCCCGTTCTTTTAAAATTTCTTAGAATTCTCTGTGTAGTTTTCTATCTCTGGAAAAAATTTATGAAAAGAATAAATCACCATTGTATTTCCAAATACTAAGATTTTACTAACCAGCCTGATTTTGCAAACAGAAGGGGGATAAAATATTTTAAGAAAAAGAGAGCATCTAAGTAACTTTTCTTAGTTACTAGTCACTGACAGTAGGGAAAAAAATCCCATGAACTCCTGCTGCCTTCTGCAGTATGCTAACCACACTGAATAGGTCTACAGCTTTCTCTCTGGTACGTGGATCCACACTGAATCACACAGAGGGCATGGTCAGGTCAGTCGCCTCTTATGCACGTAGCAGACGTTAGATACAACATAGAGGAAATAAAATGGCTCCTGAATTTAAAATCCCACACTTAATAAAGTTAAAATCTTTCATCCAAAAGGAGTCTTTCCTCAAACTGTTAAAATCATCTATGGAAGAAAATGGTAAAGCGCCAGCTTCTCATCAGTTTCTGCCTTCTCCCTACTCGAAGTCCTACGGAGCAGTGAGACTACCAGCATGGTGTCTGCTGTTTTAACATGGCTCTGCCTACCTCCACTGGAATGTCTCATCAGATTTTCCAATGTAAGAGATTGTGACTAGAGATTACCTTGATGGCACATTTCCTATTTCACCAGGAAATACAAAATACATTCATAAAGGCCTTACGTGGATTGGGACATAGATATCAACTGGGAATCACTAGGGGGATATTTCATGACATTTTATTATTTTTCTGAATTTAATCTTCAGTACTGACAACTGGACCATTTGTTCAAAGCCAGTCTGTTAAATCTATTCGTAATGAAACTCAGCTTTAGTATTGAGGTCTGGGAAAGAGGACTTCAACTAGAACTCACCATTCTAGAGTCCAGTTATCTCTTGAAATTTCTGGGGGCTAACATCTGAACATTAATGTCTTTGTTTTTCTAAGAACAGGGGAAATGAAGTTATAATTTGCCATTTCCTCTTTACCTCTGGAACTTCAAATGGGATATAGGACATGACCTTTTTTCATTTATATTTTCTAAAGGTAAACATGGTTCTTTTTTTCTTTTTTCTTTTCTACAAACCATTTCCCCCCTCCCCAGACCCACCCACACACCCATTATCCAGTCTACTGAACAGCGGTTGAAACTCCTTAGGAAGACAACTAATTGTTTTACAGTACTCTAAAACCAACCCTGAAAACGGATAATCTCATTCATTTACTATAACTTCAGTGCTGTTGTTGACAGAAAAGAAAAAAAAAGTTACCTTAAGGCTCGAGGGAAAGTAACTTATTAAATTGTGAATGCAGCATTGTTTACTCTCCCATCCATTGGAAACTAGCAAAATGCATTCTGGATCAATAATACAAACTTCCTAACATTAGCAAAGATTTCTACTTTTCTTACATAGTTAGAACAATATTCATAAGCAGATTATCTAGGGGAGCCTGAGAAACCATGATCCACATCACACAAAGATTCCATGTATTTCATGATCAAAAAGTGCTTTATCTTTGAGAAATATGTCAGGGCTAAAATGGAAATATACAATGCAAGCTCACTTGACACTTTTTCAAGTGAAGTACAAAGTGGAAAGGAGCAAAAAGATGGAGGAGGCTCTGCTTGCTGAACAGGCCTTGCATGTGTGACTTTTGGGTATACGAAATTAAAATCGTTTTAATTATAATAGTGGGATTTTACTCCACTATATTTTAAAACCTGAGATTGGACATCAAAGCAGTCAACTCTATTTTTCATCAGAGCAATTCTGATGCTTCCTAAAAATAGAAGAAAACTCAATTAGATTATCTCCAGGGTCAGAAAACATCGACTTTCCCCAATCAAAAACATCACACTAAGAGTGCCGCAGAGCCACCACTGCTCTCAGCAAACAAGTCCTTTTTACATCAGTGAAAAAGCCACTTCTCTCCTCCCCTTCTCACTCATCAAGGCCACACTATTTTCAAATGAATATCTACTGAGAGATCAGTTGTGCATTGGACAAAGTACCATAATTGGGTTAAAAATGAAAACAAAATTTACAGTGAAGAATACTTATGTGCATGGCTTACACACTCCAGCTTCTCCTTGGTGTCATCTACCTCAAGCACAAGATAGAGGCATAGTCACCTCGGGGAGACTACACCCGACACCCTTGTAAAGCCAGTCAAGGTCACATTCACGCAGCATCTGAGCGACCATCGTGCCTGAAGTGTGCAGCCGTTTACAGACCACTCAATATGAGGGCATTATTATAACCAGCCTCTTTTGCCCACAACCCTGCATTTTCAGATAAGACAGGAGAATTGTTTTGTTTTGAGAAAACCGAAGCTTGACTCTCTTACAAGACCTGCAATTTACTGCAAAGTGATCCAGAGGTAACAAAGGAAGCAGGAAGTTAATGGCTGCCTGCGCCAAAAGCCTCTCAATCATTTTGCAGTAAATAATTATGGAAAGTGACAAGACAAGCAGCCGTGAGCATGCCACGGCCACAGTCGCTGGTACCACCTACATGCCTCCAACAGTTACATAGGGTGTTTGGGTTTTTGGTTTAGTTTTCACTTTGATTTTTGGTGCCATACAGATTTGTATTTTGTGTTGTGCAGCAGATGCACTGAAAAATTTGCTGACTACAACTGCTGTTTCACTTGCTAAAACAATGGATAGGGACAATAGAAACCAGAAATTAGCAGGATCTCTTCACAGATTTTTACTTTTTGTTCCTAGAATTTGACTTCTCATTTGGTAATTAAGGTAGTCTTGAGAAACAAACCTTCCACAAATTATTTGAAGGAGCTTTATAGTTCCTTACTTCTCAGGAATATAACTGTTTTGATTAGCTGGGATGTCTGCCAAATTTAAAAACCTCTAAATCCTTCATAGTATGAACACAAATAGTACACAGCACGAAAAAACAAAAAAAAAAGTTGGTTGTTTCCCATAGCTTGTACAACACCACCATCTCATTGAAACTAACAAAGACCACTGCCTTTAAAGAAGCTAATATTTATCAATGAACCTCTGTGCTTTGCATATTTCTATTGTCCCTACTCACTGGAATGAGGATCAGTGAAATGCTACAATTAATCCACATCCTTCTGCAATCTTCCTACAGCGGGAAGAGAGGCCACTAACCACCCTCTGCAGGAGAAATAAACCTTAGAGATTGGTTAAGACTTAAAAACCCACCACTATGACATTTACCACTTAATCTTACATAGGCAGGTCAAAATTTTAATATAAATTACTTTGCCAACACATAGCTTATGCATTCTTTGCTCCTTTTTTTGGAGGATTCTCAAATTGATATCTAAAGATTTACATATGATATATTACTGTTATATGGTCTAATGACTAAGAAAATTTCTCTGGTAACCAAAGCTGATGCCATATATGGTAGTGTTCTTGGCATATTGCTCTATATGCCTCAGACCACTTCCACATTCTTTCTATTCAGCTAATTATAGCTTAGTAGCCACTGGTGAAGGATTGTGAAGACCCTGTCATTTCTACAGAGTAGAATGGCAAGGCTAGTCACTGCAATTCAGCCAAACAAAAAGAAAAAATAAACCAACCCCTTGAAAAGGAGAGGTACTGCACCTTTGCAAATTGAACTGGCTCACCGCAGCTGAGCAACAGGACCACCACTGAAGCAAGAAAACAAGTTGGTCTATACAGGAATTGTACATGGTTTGAAAACGAAAGAGTTACAGCAATCAATCAATGGCTGCAACCTTAATTTTCATTGCTGCCTCAGAGTTGGAAACTTATGCAGTTTCTGCAAACCTAATGCTAGCTTCTCAGCTCCTTTACTAAAACTAGGAATTTGTTCTCCGCAGCAAAGAAATAAACACTCAAAACACATATGTAAATACAGCAGGACATTATTGAAAACAGCTGCCTTGTAGTACAAAATACAGTACAAGTATACGGATGTCATTAAAACATCAAAAATACTATTGCTCCCATACAATTTAGGAAACATTCTTTGCAACGGAGAAAAATTTAAAAGAAAAGCTTTAAAAAAATCTGTTTAAAAATTCTACTGTGGATGATGAGAGTAGAGAAATAGTCTGAAAAGGGCACCAATGTTTGTGGCTCTTCCACTTTTGTTGTTAAATCTAAGATCAACAATATTCTGAATCATAGTCTATTTTTTTTTAAAAAAGCCTAATTTATATACACAATTATTTCCCTCCCTCTCAGCCACAAATACATGAAAACGACCTTTTTGTATATTACTTATTTCCCAATAAATACAAAAAGATTGTATAGATTGAATAATACCAAAATAAGATAATAAAAAGGATATGCAATAAATTAAAAAGGCAGCTCAAATGAAGGGCAGGCATGCAGTTAAAAAAAATACTAAGATTGTGGAGGTGGGGTTACTTGCCTCCTGTTGAGAAAGTGTCACACAAAGATACCTGAAAACTTTGGAAAAGAACATGAGCTCTCATTCAATTCAAAGTTACCTAGATCTATGACATTTCTAGGAATACCTTTCGATGGGAGTGGGATTAACTTGATTAGTAAAAATCATTTCTACTGAAAATCCATTTAAAATATAGAAGAGGCGATCCTTGAAAACCCCAACTTTTATTCTTGAACGACAGCTGGATAAACTGGCAAAAGCCAGTCTGTTGAAATTTCAAGATGGTATAAAAATGCTTCCAGGATGTAGTCAGCACATTCGTTCCCTTCAGTTCCATTCACAGATGGATTTCAGCTTCCACGGGTGCATTGCTTGAATCACTCATCCATCCTTTGCCAACTTTGATTGTGAGGTACTGATACAATGGATCAAGTTCCTAAAAATTTATTTTAAAAGAATAAATGATGCTGGAATTCTGGACCTGAGGATCTTTAGTATTCGAAGAAATCCACAGATTAAACTGAAGGTAAATTAAGACTTCAGTTTTGGTTATTTCCAACTTTCCTGTGAGGATGTATATTCCATTAAAGCTCAGGCTTGTAGCCACACTGTTCCTTTTGCAGGTAATAGTCAAGTTTTACGGTTTAAAATGCAGCCAACCAGTGGCCCAAACAGCCGAATTAGCCATAATTCACTGGCTCATATGTGGAGCCATAGGGGTCTGGCTCTCATTCATATCCAAGCCATTTCTTGGTAATGACCTCCGTATTCAGAGATCCAGGGAAGAACTTTAGTGAGCAGCAACCAATCCACTCAAACAGTTTGCCTTGTGCTTTATGCCTGACTTCTTGTGCCTACCTCAGCAATCCCCAATGTAAACTTGCTTTTGTTTTTGGGAAAAAGAATTTTTGCCAACTTTCAAAAACTATTTTAGTAATGGATTCTTGTTCAAGCATTGATATCTGGATTCATTTGCATCCCGGATAACAATTCTGCAAAGAAAAGACATGGGCCTTGATCCAGGTTTCACACAAAACCATCTAAAAAAATGGATCCAATTTTTTCCCTGTATTTTCCAATGGCTTCTTCAATTCTTCTTCTGCCCACAAAACCACCTTCTAAAAAAAAAAAAAAAATGGATCCAATTTTTCCCTGTATTTTCCAATGGCTTCTTCAATTCTTCTTCTGCCCTGTCTGCAAGTGTGTGAAGTTGCATTCTTTCCTATAAACCTGTACCCTCAGCACTGGGTATATGCAAAGGCCTCTTTCTTCTAAAGATTCCACGAAGATCCAAATCCCAAATGCTGATTTCAATGGAAGTGAAGACGCTGCAAAAGTGAAGAGGCCTGGTGAGATCTTGAGATTACCCAGGTACAACACAAATTCAACTGTTACCAATGGGTGGGGTCTGGGAAAACTCGGATGTTTGGGGGCCCAGACATACAGAGATCTATTCTCCCGGGTTTCACCAGATGGGCTTAGGAACCCAGGCTGAAACTTTTGTAGGTTGAGGAGATGCTGTTGTCCTTCTTTGCAGGTTGCTGTCGGTTCCTTGGAACTTTACTGATGTTCTCATATTGTCCTCGACTGTTCACTTATCTATATTATTGGTTTGTTTTCTCTCTCGGCGGTCTCCCTTGTTCTCTCTCCACGAGCTCACTGCAGATGAGCAGGAAAGAGAAAACTAGCCAAGGGGACGGTGATGGGGTGGGGGAGGCCGTGCACTTCAATCCTCATCCACCTCCTCGCCCTCCGACTCATCGCCACCGCCGCTCCCCCCAGCGCGGCGCTCATAAAGCTTATCCCTCTGTCGCTCCTGGATCTCCTTCATCTCATCAGCATACCGGCAGAAGGCGCCTCCGAACTTGCCCCAGGCCTTGAAGGGCACAGTGATGGCGTTGCGGTAGGACGGCTTCACCTCGCTCACTCGCAGGAACACGCCGTACTTGTTGCAGCCCACGTCGAAGAAGAAGCGCTTGGAGTCCACCGTGATGGAGGTGCCCTCGGGAAGCTCCCCGTAGAGGCCTCCCCCGGGCCCGCCGCCGCCCCCCGGGCCTCCCGACAGCTCGTCGTCTTCGGCCCCGTAGTCATCGATGAGTTTGGCCAGCGCGTCTCGGAACTCGATGAGGCCCTGCGCCGGCAGCGCGATGGTCTGGCCGCTCTGCAGGCCCCCGGGCCCGGGCCCCGCGCCGAAGCCGCCGCCGCCGCGGTTCACGGTCTGGCGGATGCGCAAGAAGCGGCCGCGCTGGTTCTCCTTGAGGTCCAGGTAGTACTTGCGGTTTTCGCGCACCAGGAACTCGCTCTTGAGGGCGCGCCGCGGCCCGCCGCCCTCCTCGGCGCCCGCTGCCAGCTGCTCGGGGCTGCTGGGGCCCAGCTGCGCGTAGTGCTCGATGAAGTCGCCCAGCGAGTCGCGGAACTCGGCGGCGACCGCCATGGACAGCGTGAGGCGGCTCTTGGAGCCGCCCGCGCCCACCTCGGCGATCTTGAGGAAGCGGCCCTTGGCGTTCTGCTTCACGTCCAGGTAGAAGCGCTTGTTCTGGATGTCCAGCCGCTTTGAGGCCAGCTCCTGCGTCTCCTGCTCGCCGCCGCCGCCGCCGCCGCCGCGGGGCGCGGGCTGGAAGCCGCCGGGCC